ACACTGGTGATGTTGGAGAGATGAAGTGACACTGTTCGGCCTCAGAATATCATGATTAGCGAGAGAGGAAGTCAGCCTGCGGGATTGTGTTTCCTGGACGATGTTGGATGTCATAGTTATATGCGGCTAGAGCAATACTCCACCTCTGTAGCATAGCAGCAGTGGACTTCACGATGGATTTGTTGGGGTTGAACAAGAAGTGTAGCGCTTGGTGATCAATGGTGATAGTAAACCGCAATCCGAAAAGTTACTTGTGCAATTGTCGAGCAGCCCAAAATACAGTCAACGCTTCTTTTTGAGTCTGTGAGTATTTGTTTTCTGCCGCATTGAGTAGACGTGAAATGCAGATCACTGGGCATCCTTCTTGTTCCAATACAGCACCGATTCCGACATCAGACGCATCGGTGATGAGTGTAGTCGGTTTTGAAGGTGAAAACGGGGCGAGAACAGGACGATCAGTAACGCAGCGAATTAAACCACGTAAGATATCTTTTCACTCCACCGACCATTCCCAAGCGTCTGAACACCGAGCACGGAAAAGCGGCTGTGCCCTTGTAGCAAAGTTCGGGATAAATCGGGAATAGTACTGTGGGCATCCCATCACCGATCTCAAATGCTTTTGATCTTTTGGAGATTCAATCTTAGTCAGTGGGTTGAAACGTGTCAGATCGGGACGATATCCACGGGAATCAACTATGAATCCTAGAAACTCTAACTCACTTACTCCAAATACACACTTGGACGGCTTGATAGCCACGTTTCTGACGGAAAATCGTTCCAGTAGCTGCGTGAGACGGGCATCGTGTTCTTTCTTATTAAGGCCAAAAATGAGGACGTTATCTTGATATGCAAGCACACCGTCACGTCCTTTGATTACACTGTCTATTACCGATTGAAAGAGGCCAGGCGACACATGCAATCCGAATGGGAGAAAATTGTACTGATGCATTCCCCACGGCGTATTGATTGTTGTCAAGTAGCGAGATTCGACATCGAGTGGAATCTGTAGGTATGCGTCCGCTAAGTCAATCTTCAAAAAATACTGGCACCCATGCAATGACTTCATGAAATCTTCTGGTTCTATGGTGGTCGCTGCACATCTCCGCAATCTGGGATTCAAAGTTAGTCGATAGTCTCCACAGGTCCGTGGTGTCCTATCATCTTTTTTCATCTCCACAACAATCGGGGTCGCCCAGGCACTGGATTCAACTTTGCTTATCACACCATCCTGCTCCATGTTCTGTAATGCTTTCAGAACACCTGCCCGTTGACCGTATGGGAGGAAGCGTAGTTTTAGGAAAATAGGTTCACCGTCCACTTCCAACTTCACCGACGGTACTTTCGTGCCACCAATGTTACCGGAACACTGTACAATCAGATGTTGAAGATGTGAGGTGATTGGCATATCTTTGTTCGTGTGTAGTGTAATGGATCCTTGTAGTAGCCGCATTGCTCGAAGGCCCAGAATAGACGGACTGTGGACTGAAACCAGGAATCGGATTGGGATTGATACCCCGGATTCAAATTGAACACGCAACATCATTTCACCAAGTAATTGCAACTGATGGCCAGTAACCCCATGAATGAGCACAGAAGTCTGGGATAGAACAACATTAGGACAAATACCATTGAGTGCTGATTTCGGTAGGATTGATTCACTGCTTCCTGTGTCCATGATGAATCGATGCTCCACACCAGACTCGAATCTCAGTGGGGCGAACACGAACTGACCGTTGGGTTCGGTGGTATGCAGCGTGTAGATATGGCTTCAGTTCTCATCTGCCGTTGGGACATGGAAGTCGATGAGGTTGCACTTGGGCATTCGGCATACTTTGCGGATATGGCCCATCTTACCGCATGCATGGCAAAGGGCATTACGGAATCGAAAAGTCGAACGAAGATGGTATTCACCACATGAAAAGCAACGGTTGGTGGCAGCCTTCGGTTGTGTTCGGCTTGAACTGGGTACTTAAGGAACCTGGGGTGAATAATGAACATTGGGTGCGTCACGTAAGGGTTTCGGTGATCGCCAATGGAATAACAGAGGAGTATCCGCATTTGTGGCAGCACACAAACCGTCACCTTGCTCACAGATTTTTCGAGCCTCAGCAAAGGTGATATTTTTTCCAAAATCGTACGTTGTAATGAGATGTACTTGATTCCAGCAATGAGACGGTCGCAAAGTTGTTCCTCCAATCGGTCACCATAGTTGCATTTTGACGCCTGTTTGTTCAATTGGAGAATGAACTCACGACACGGCATGTAGGCAGCTCTGATCATTGAGTTAAATATGGCCTGTACAGTGGCCTGAAAATCAACTGGGAGACTGTAGTGCAGTAATAGGGATTTCAACTTTTCGAACGGCAATTCAGCAGGAACATTCGGGAACGATAGATTCTTCACCCGGGAATAAAGCTCTCGGCCGCTCAACGTCAAAAACAGGACCGACGG